CAAGGGTCTATAAAGAGGACGTGATGTCTACTGGAGGAGAATTCAAAGTTTCGAAATGGCATGTACAAGTTGGAAGGTCTCTTTACAGGAAGGTTGTAAAATATGGTAAGATGATTTCTGAAAGTCAGGATGGGTTGGTTGTTATAAGTGAGCAATTACTCAGCATAGGAGTGGAAAACTGGTTTCAAGGTGTTAGTTGGTGGGGGTCGTGCCTCAGGGAAATAGGCATACAACCGGGCTTGGAAGAGCCAGAATGGGCCACCACAATTGCCAGAAATCTTCTTGTCGACAAAGGAAAATAGGGCCTTATAAAGGGTGGCAAGAAGATAAGGGGCAAAAGCCAAAGCTTGGCCATCTTGCATACATAAGGCAAAAGGGAGGTATTCCTTCGTGATCTTGTACCTAGGGACATAAAAAACAAACTCACAAAGCCAAAGTAAGTAAAAAGCAGTTCTTTCTTTGTCCTCGATCGGGGAACCAGGTGCGCCTTTGTATTTTTTGGCGAAATCTGTATAGCACTTGTCAGTGTTTAAAGTAAAGTTCACTGTTGGAGGCTCACAGAGAGCATGAATTGGTTTGCCCAAGATTGGGAGACCAGTCAAGTGAGCTACATCTAAGATGGTAGGGGAAATCATACCAAAATTGAGGAGTAGGAAGTTACAAGATTGCGACCAAAAGTATGCAGCAGCAATTAGCCCTTTGTCCAAGTCATAATTTTTAGTCGACAGTCTAATTGCTTCACTAATGCCCTGGTGCTTCCATACTTCAGCGTCATGACCTTTAATTCTCCTGGCCCAGCTTCACCAAACAGAGTCTGGTGACCTCCACGATCTGAGTGGGTTTTTACTGACATTCCAGTTAGTCCACTTAAGTCTAGATTGGTTGAGAAGAAGGTTCTCACCATTACCAAGGGGATAGTATGAAGCTAGCTCGTCTGGGAAGAAAGACGTGAAGGTAGGGCCTAGGGCCTTAGCGATAGAGCTTGTGCTGGGCAATAGGGTAATACCTAATTTTAGAGGAGCGATACGTGCTCTAATAGGGTCTGGGAAGCGGAGTAGGTCTTCATTGTTGTCCTTAGATGGAGCTGGTTAAGATTTTTTGGGCGCCATGTCTTAGGGTTTTGTTGTGCTGTGGTTTTGAACGGCAATGCTTGAGAAGAAGGAGTCCACTCTGAGGAGTTCGAATCAGAGGGAAATGGAGTTGAAGTGGCTGAGGGTTTTGTGGTGCTGTGGTTTTGAACTATAATGCTTGAGAAAGAGTGCACTCTGAGGAGTTTGAATCAGAGGGAAATGAAGTTGAAGTGGTTTGAAGCTAAAAAGGTGGGTCTTTTATAGCTTATGATGGGGCCAGTATATTTAAATACTCTCATATTGGGCTTTAGTTTATGTTTGTTTTGGGCCCGTATTAAGAAATTTGCTATTTGACTTATCTCTTGGGCTCAGGGGAATAAATCCTGTGTTAAGTACAAATTGGGCCCAACTGGCAAGTTTGGTGAAGGTAAAATCATATGATATATAACCTGAACACGGGTGCCATTGTTTGCACCAAGTTTTGCCAGTCTCTGTCGACAGATGGTCCACTTAATGGAGGACACGTGGCCTAGTCTGAAAGAATGTCCAGCAGTTGAAAGTGGGTTGTCTGTATGTGGGTCACGTAGAAGTGATGGGGGCAGTTTTTAGCACCAGTCATGGAGTTGGTGGGCACTTTCCAGAGGAAGAATGAGACAAAGCAGGAGCCTTGCTCTGTCAACAGAAGTTCTAAACGGTTGGTTTCCATGAAATAAACTGAAGAAAACGGAGATCGACAAATAGAAGTGGAGGTTTAGTACACTTGGGTTTTCATGTCCCTTCTACACCATAACTGCCACTGTAACTGCCCCCCTGACTTCGAATCTTCAAACTCTACCAAATATTGATTCTTCCCTGTCGACTTTCCTTTTCACCATTGTGGCGTATGTCCCTCATCATTATGACACAACAATCGACAGAATATTGTCCACTAAACACAACCACAATCCTTGCAAACTAGGCCACTGAACCACAACACTAGGCCACTCACTATAACTGGCCCTTGCCTTTGAACCTTCAAACCCTGCCAAATATTGAATTTTCCTTGTAATTTAATCAATAAATTCAATGTTGGTAAACTTGTTAATATTTGAAATACCCATTTTGCACTGCCATGACATAAACACAATTGTTGTCCTACATTTTACGTAACCACAATACACAACTTATTTGTATTGAAAACAAAATATACATTTCGGGTTTATAATCATAAAAATGGAAACTACTTTTTTTCTCTTTTAAAGTTTACTCATATTTTCAGCTAAATTATGATTGATTATTTTTTTAAAATTCCTCTTTCCACCTATTTTTCCCACACCGTGCCAATAGGTGCTCCATTCAATTGAGGACACATGGCAAGTTCACCTGAAGACAAGGGTTATCAACTAACATTGAATCTTGCATGCCACCTGACTTACACAGTGGAGCACTTACTGGCACTGATCATGGATTTAGTGGCCACCCTCGAAGAGGAAACATTCGCGAATTGGGAGTCTGTATCTGTCGAGGAAAGGCTAAAAGGACTTGGGCACAAGTGACAACTTCAAGATATGCACTTCAACAGGTACAAGTAAAGGTTTTATGTGGTTTGAAGACATAAAAATGACCGTGCAGTCACAAAAGTTGCACAGAAGCAGTTGCAGATTCGGTAGATCATGGGATCGTGGGAAATAAGAGCTATAAAGGGCAGAAGGTTTGCAGACAGAGAGCACATGAACAACAACACAACAACTTACTTTCTACATTGTAACTTCTGAGCAGTTTTTTCACTTCTCATTTTTCAACCTCAAATCAGCAAAGGTTTATCTTCTATGATTTGTTACCATCACCTCATATTAGAAAGGTCATTCTACTAGTTTACTTTCTTACCATCAGTTCATCGAAAGAAGTCTTCATCATTTTCAGGCATTCGAACCAATACCACAATTGCTAGATTCTCTCCTTTAATTTGTCAACTTTAAATTACTACTTGGTTGCTGTAGATATAGGCCCACTTTAATTTTACTAACAATAAACCCATCACTTTCGTAGTTAACATGAAATAATTTCACAACTCCTGTTCGTAACTCGTAATTCATATAGCAATCGGCATATAGATAAAGTAAAAGAATTCGTTGGGTTACTTCGAACCAATACCACAATTGCTAGATTCTCTCCTTTAATTTGTCAACTTTAAATTACTACTTGGTTGCTGTAGATATAGGCCCACTTTAATTTTACTAACAATAAACCCATCACTTTCGTAGTTAACATGAAATAATTTCACAACTCCTGTTCGTAACTTGTAATTCATATAGCAATCGGCATATAGATAAAATAAAAGAATTCGTTGGGTTACTTTCTCCAACTAATACCCAAAATTAACTGCGACTTAACTTATATACAAAATGCATGTGCTGGGATGTAATTTTGCAAAACCACATGGACAAAATTTGTATTTTACTCGAAATATAATAGTAATTTACCGAAACAAGTCATAACAAATCAATACGAAGCCAAACACATCGTTAGCTAATAAACCACACCACAAGAAACGATTCACTTAGATCCAACCAAATATGGAACACAAACAGCAACCCGCAACAGGAATCTTGGAATACAGACATAAGCCAATTTCCAACCCAAAACAATACACATACAACCCATATATATCTCACTTTCAATTAGTTTTCAAAATGACAAGTCACTGCAAACACAAATGACAACATCACTCTAAACAATATGGGAAATCACTATTTCTGGCCTTGTACATAAGTAACATTGTGCCACTTCGTGGCATTGTACATAAGTAACGCTGTGCCATTTCGTGGCATTGTACATAACCAATTATTTACACGTTACGTACAACAATCTGTGCAAAATGAAAACTACATACATATCCACCCTGTTCTTCGCAATGATGTGTTTCCAATAACTAGTACTGTCTACCTAATAAATTAAGGGAATAAGTAAATCATACAAATTATACAATTACCTGATTCACCTCATCAATTGTGGTCGAATCATTTTTGCACACTGCTGCTTCGACAATACCGTATTGGCCCACAGGCTGTTTGGAATCAGGAGAAGCATCGGAAAATAGTCGTTGTTGTTTAATGTGTAGTGTACTTGGATCCACCAACCCAGGTTCGCAACGAATGGGCAATGACTCTGCATTGTACTCGCAGTCGGTGATGTGGGTTGTATCTGCATCTGAGTTACTACCCACTGTTCGGCTAAATCAAACCTTAGGACACGTTCGCTTTGTGTGTCCAATGCATTTGCAATTCCCACATTTTCTTTGTCTTCGACAGTTGGACGAGGCCCGTACTGGGTTCCCTTTTGTCTTCACAAGATTAGGATCTTCTACTCCAAATTATCGTGGGATTGAATGTTTCCTTTTGTCTCCATCCCCATTGTTCAGATTCCTCTCATATAACTCCTTCATTCGGCTTGTCATCGGAAGACATGCATCCCCAGCCTCTTTGAAACCTTCCGTTGATTGCGAAGCATAGAAACACATTTCATTGTAGGCATAACTCAATATCCCATACCGGGCCGTCTGTGTTGTAGTGCTATCAATTGAAGGTTGAGGCCATTGCTGGCCATCCTTGCTTGCAGCCCTTGTCCATCTATGCAGCACACAAGTTGGGGGAATTTGCGTTAAATTTTTGGCTTTCATAACACATATCACGTGACAGCAAGGTAGCCCCAATGACTCAAACTTCATGTAAGAACATCTCATTGCAGCATCCATTTGATTGTGTGTTACTATCCATGATCTATCCATCACCTTGTACTTATGAATATAGTAGCATTTCTGACCATCCGGCAAAGGGAACATGTCCTTCACATTCAACTTCCCCTCTTCTAAGATTTTATCACGAAACATTCTAAATATATTTCGGGTGAATAGCTCAGCTCCATGTCTCTCTATATCTCGCAATGGAGTAATCAATATCGGAAAAGTGTTATTTGTTTCTGTATCATCTCCAGCCTCGTAATACTTATCCTTGCAAGAGCCTGATCATAGTGCCTAACAAATTCATATAGCTTCAATTTGTGTTGGAGGAAGGGCTTGAAATAAGCATTCATACTCTCCGAGCGTTGAGTGCTCTTCATCCCAGCAAAGAAATGTCCACGCATATATGCCTCAGCCCACATATGACGCTTCTCATATGTCTCTAACACCCAGCTATTGGTTTGAAGCCCAAATTTTTCTCCCATTCTCGCCCAGCCATCCTCAAACTTTGCCTCATTTGTTTCCATGTCCATGCACTGCTTGAAAGCATGTGCAAAGCCACTTTTGTGAACATTTGAACAACATTTTTCCCAAGATGCCAATTATATAATCGATGCCTTGCGTCTGGAAATACTCTTCTGATTGCCTCTCACATCGCCCCTATCCCCATCTGTCAGTACGGACATAGGTGCTTTATTGCCCATCGCTTCCATAAATATTTCCAAAACCCATGTGTATGTATCAAATGTCTCGTTAGCTAGCAAAACACATGCAAATATTGTGGTCCTAAAGTGGTTAGTCACACCAGCCAACATGACAAAAGGTTTCTTGTACGCATTGGTTCTGTAAGTTGAGTCAAATATCAACATATCACCAAACTTTACGTAGTCAGCCCGCGATTTCGAATCTGTCTAGAACAGATTTTGTAACTTGTTATCCTTACACACATCATACTTGTAAAAAAAATGTGCATCAACATCAAGTTTTGCGCACAGGTAAACCAACTCACCCTGCACATCACCATCCTCAACTTCTGCTCTACGTTCGGCTTGATTATGGTTGTGCAGATCCGTACGGATGATCCAACATTCTCATAAGACCCGGATTGATTTACCATATAGTCCATGATTTGGCTAGTCTTCACACCGACGTTGTGCATAGCCATTGCTTGACCTTTGTCAGCGCTGTTTAAACCGCGATGTGACCTCAGATACATCACACAGTGTTGTTCTGCCAATTCATGGTTGTGTTCTGCGACGAAGTGAGTCACAACATACTTTCCCCCTTCACCAGCATCTGCATTGTACCGTATGCGAAATTGGACTTTGCAACCTACTATTGTTAGTGCCTTGGGAGCTCTACTCTTCTCAGCAACACGATCCAAGTATTTTGGTAATCTCTGACCTTCCCTTGAACACAATCACAGCCTACTAACAACCTTTCCCTCTTTATTTTTGTTAAATCTAGATTTTCATATACTAAATCCCTTGGCTTTAGCATACGCATTGTAAAAAGCTTTTCCGTCTTCGACCGAATCAAATTTCTGTTCCAGAATAGCACGTTCAACATCACTAACCATGTCATTGCGATGAGCATCGTTAACCATTTCTTGTTTCACATCGGCTCTGCCATCTTCAACGTTCATGTTGGTTGCTTCTTCATTGCTCGGACCAGCTTCGCAACCATGATAACGTTACGCCCAACTTTCATTGATCAAACGAATGTCATCTGCTTCATTTGGAATGTCATAATCATCACCTTCCCTTTTAACTTTCGCTGGGGCCGTACTGTACATGATATTAGTACAAACAATTACTTGGTGATCGAAAAATGTTAACACAAACACAAACATGACATTTTCACACGATTTAATTGTTTGTGCAAACACAAACACTCGCTTTAGAAAGAGAAAGGTTAGTTGCTAATGGAGGGTTTTTGTTTGAGCGAAGCGTAGAGCGGTTGAAGTTAGGATGGGGGTTTAGTTGAGGGAAAATAGCTGAAGTGAAGAGGCCAGAGACAGAGAGAGACAGAGAGAGGGAGACAGCTCCATACCTCATATCTAGTTGGAGAGAACGTCTTCACTTCAGCAATGGAACCCAGCAGGGGCTTCGTCAATGGAACCCAGTAGGGGCTTCATACCTCACACGGTTTAATTGTTGGATATCGCCCGTCTGTTCCCTACAGAGCTTCGTCAATGGAACCTAGCAGGGGCTTCTCGCTGTTAATGGAAATCAAGGGTTACACTGACTCAACCTTACACAGAGAGGAGAACAGAGAGAGATAGAGACGAAGTAGAGAGAGTGAGTGGGATGCAACCATGCAAATACAAGCATTAATCGGTTGGCCCGATTTCAACTTTTTGACGATTAAACAATTCAATGGTCTTGATCAATTATTGTAATCTAACGACTAAAAATTGGATTGCATATGGTGTGCAACCTTAAAGGGGTTGCACACTTAAACATCACCCTTGACTAAAATAACCTATTTTATCTTATATGACTATTTTAGCCCTAATATTCTTTCCAAACAAGCTCGAAATCTACTTAATTTAAAGACACTTAAAAAAATATAAATTTTGTATAAAAATCATTTAAAATTTTTCTAAATATAAAAAAAATTATATTTTTAGTATTTGTTAAAAAAATTTAAATATTTCTTTGACAAATAAATTATTTTTAAAAAAATAATATTAAAAATATTTTAATCCATTTTATTTAATATTTTAATCTATTAATCCTATCACAAGATTTCTAATCCCATATGTTTTCCTTCTATATTAGTTCAATCAAAAAGGGGGATTGCTAGTTCCTTTAGCTCATATTTGTTGTATTGCTTGAGTGGTTGGATTGGACTATCATGGCTGTGGATCCCACCCACAGCGTGTTTGGTAGTGAAATGTGTTGGAAAAAATGAATTTTTGGTGATTTTAATTAAATATTAAAGTGAGCCCCAACCATCTATTGGGTCTAAGTGGGTGTAGATACTTTGCAATGAGATCTTTACACCACAAAAAGAATGATAAAAAACTATTGAGAATTGGATGAGAAATTGCCTCTTGAAGTTAGCTTCATAAAAGATGTAGTGGGATTGGTGTGTATAATTTGTTTGTAACTCCAGCCATAAAGACAGGCTAATGGTGCATTAGTGACCAACCATAAAGGTTGAAGGCTCATCCCCTCTCCCCTATACATGTATAAATTGAGACGTCCCTGTTTAGTCTCAACATAGAAATTTTTGCTTCCATTTTACAAGTTAGTTTGTCAGAAAGTTCCTATAGTGAGAAAGTGCTGCCACGATTTTTGTTCGCTAAACTAGACAGAGAGTGTTTCTGTTGTAACTAATTTTTGACCGTCATATCTGTAGACACCCCATTTTTTACCGTCCTCAAGACTTGGACGTCATCATTTGTGCACTCGATGATTGTCCTTGTTTGTGTTCGTTTTGAGCGCCCGAAGTTATCGCCGGAACGCCTTGTCTTTGAGCCTCTAAACCTTATCTGTTTGGTGCTTGTTTTTGGGCCTAGAGCTTGTTGCCTTTAGTCTGGAAGAGTAGGTGACCTGTCGGCCAGCGCTCTAGACTGTCGGCCATGGCTTGCTCTTGTCAGCTACCAGTGGTGGCCGATGGCCATTGGTCTCTTTTTCCAAATATTTGTTGCCAGTTGTGCTAGCTGTTGTTCACTGAGCTGCATCTTCATACACGTGTATGGTGAGATGTTCACAAACTCCAGGCTTGTTTTTCTATATATAGGGGGGTTCCTCCCCCATTTTTGAGGGTTAGCATTTTGAGAACAAAAATCTCTCTCTCTAGAATTTTCTCTCTCTTATTATTTTGCATACATTTGCATACAGGTCCTTAACTTTTGCATATCAACCCTTAACCAAATACTCTTACCTTTGGGCTGAGATTGCTTGGGACCTAATTTGAGCTCTAGAAGGAGGTTTGAGCTTGAATTTGTGGCTATTTTGTGCTTGGCTTCAAAGGTATAGAACTTAACTTGCTTAGACTTGTTTCGTATACTTATTTTGCCATCCTTTTAAATTGTTTTTAGCCTAGTTTTCAATTGTAAAAACCTCTTTTTTTGTGACTTGATGGTGGTTTGAGGCTATTTTGAGTTAGGGGTGGTACACCCTTCTTGTTTCTTAGCTTGTTAGGTTTTTTGTGCTATTATTCACCACTTTCAAAACAACTTTTTTGGGCCTTTTAACCACTAAATCTCAGAGGCTTTTCAGTGGTAAAAATCAACTTTTGAAGTCCAAAATTGGAGGGGTTAGCCTACCCTCCTTGTGTCTTGTTTGCATGCCTAGTTAGCTTCATGAGATAGCATGTTTTTCTAGCTTAACTTAGCTCTAGTCCAACATGTTTTTGCCTTTGAAATAACCTGTTTTGGCTTTGTTTTGGGCAGGTTAGTTAGTTGAGGCTTGTACTTCATAGTTGTAGTGTTATATTCCTTCACTAGCTTGGAGTTATGTTTTGATCACCATTGTTTTGAGTTAATGGCATGTTTTAGTGTTGTTTTGCACTCCATTTCAGCACTTGAAATCTCTGCAACCTCCCTTTTTGCTTCACTCTTTTCTTTACTTTTGAGAGTTGTTTCAAACTTGGGATCTTTTAAGCTTAAAATTGAGATTATGCTTAATGGTTTAATCTTGTTTGGGGGTTCATTACCAACGGCATGATCTCTCTCATGCCTTAAATCAGCCATTGGTTGACATTTCTTTCCATTAGAAGACACTCACCAATGGACTTAATCGATTAAAGAATGAATTGATAATGTAAAATGGGTAAACAAAATGAACAAGTAAAAGAGGCAAGATAAGCATCTTTCGTGATGCATTGCATGTGTTTGAATCGGACGTTAATTCGAACACGAGAAAAATGGGACATTTCATACTCAAAAGTGATGAAATGTGCCATCTTCCTTGGTTGCCATCACCCTTGATCATGCATGATAGGGGGTGGTCTTTTTGAGTCTTGTTTTGCACTCATCAAACTTGTACAAACTTGGTTCTTTGGCCATTATGCATGGAAATTGCTTGATTGGTGGTTTGAGAGCCAAGAGTTACACTCCTTTGAGCTTGTTTGATGATAAGGAGGGTAATAGTATAAACACTCCATGAGAATACACTGCTTTGCCTCTGTTTGCTCTTTGTTGCAGCAAAAGGAAGTTCAGGGTAGCAGCGGCCGACCGGCCATCAGCAGTGGCCGACGACCACCAACAGTAGCCGACCGACCATCAATGAAATTTGCACAGTATGTTGGTAAGGTGGAGCAGAGGCATTTTGGGAGTTAGCAGCATTGTTGGTGCTCAAAGTATGCAAACAAAGGCATTCAATGGCAAGGCGGTGGCTTTTCGAGTGGAGAAATCGAGCATGCATGCATCCCTTACTTCCTGAGGCCATTTAATTGCTTTGCTTAGTTAATTAGTGGTAGCTAATTCATGCAAACATTGTAATTATTCAACTAGATTAGCTAGTTAATTCGCGTTGTAATTAATTAGATTTGTAATATTTAATTAGCTTAGAATAGTTAGTTAAATATTGTGTTGTAATAATTTTAGCTTACCTTAATTAGCGTAGCTAGTTAGCTCTTACTCATTTGGACCCTCCTTCGCAAGGGCGTAATGTTGTAATAAGTGTGTATGCGTGTGTGTATGTCTTCCAACCCACGTCTTTCTCCGTTTTATTTAATCGCTTTTGATGGATAGATTAGGGACATTTTCAATTAGCATACCTTATGCTTGCATGTTTGCATCCATTCATTTGTCTTGCATGCACCAAGGCTTGAAGCATCATTCAAACTGCATTGCACTTTCAATACTTCTTTGGATACGTGTTTAATCGTATGTTGTTCAAATCGATTCATATGCCACATTAGTAGCCGAACCTATTAATTGCATTGTTGCATGAGTTGCATTAGGCATCTTTGTATAGTTAGGATATGCATCTTTCTAACTAGTTTTTTTTTGTTTTGGCTTGGAGTACTCGGTGAGTTTTACACTTTAGCATATTTGCATGAGTGTGATTGCCATATTGCCATGATTCGTATGCTTGCCATGAGGTTATGTGCTTAAATGCTTAACTATATGAATGGCTGTAGATGAAGGCTTTGTTGTTTGAATTAGAACAATTCAACAAATACGTGTTTTAAGCCCACTTTGTCATGGCAAAATCATGTTTTAATCCCACTTGAGGTGGCAAATCCGCATCTTTTCAAGCCCACTTGAGGGTGGCAAATTCAAACCATTTACGCAAACAAACATGAGTCGAATTGTTCCAAATCTTGTGACTAGTCTATACTCGCTTGTGTGTGTCACGTAGTAAAGCTAGTTTAATAACCGGAATAAAAACACATAATGTTTATAAAAACTCATATCATGATTAGTAGAGGCCGATCTTTGATCGGGCGAGCGGGGGTGCTCAATTCATGACCTTTCCCTCTCGTACCCAAGTTCTTGAGCTGAGACAATTTTGGTAATGACGGACACTTGGCCTTCGGCACGAGTCAGGGTTTAATAAATTTCCTCAAAATAAAATATTGAGGTGGCGACTCTGTATCTGACAAAGCAGTCCAATTTTGGCATTATTTGATTTAAAATCGATTTTCCAAAATGATTTGTTGGATTTGGACTCTTTGATGTTTATC